TCTCTGCATGTTCAGACCTCTGGATTGCAGAATGAGCCTTGAGATACATTCTTGAACTTGACTTTGTAAGTCTCTTGGTAACCTGTGAAAACTTCCTCTCCTCTTTGAGCTTCAGTTTTCTTACCTGTAAAATGAAAGAATTGGATAACTTCCAAGGGGCATCCCAGCTCTAGTGTTCTATGTGTAGATAACTCTGGCTTCTTCATTCAGCCATATGTCATCTAATCCACAAGTATCTACTCAGAGGCTATCTTGTGTTAGGCTATGGCCAGGATCAGGGGATGGAGGCTCAGACACCAAGACGTGGGTCCTGCCCACCAGGAGCTTGTGGTCCACTGAGAGCTCATGATCTTATGAGTACAGAGAAGATGCCTCTGAGGAGCCCCTGGTGGCCAAGGAGGCTGTGTGTTGAGGGCAGTGGACAAGAGTTGTGTCCATCCCTTCCCCGCAGAGAGAGGTGAGTGCACGTTCAGTCCTCCCAGTGCCTCCTCCAGTGTCCTGATCTCCTGCTTGGAGATGCTGGGGACAGAATGGAGACAGCGTAGAGTCTAAAGTCCTCTACCCCTCCCCGTCCCCCATTACAACAGTCCTTCAGGACCTCCTCCCCAACCCCAGACAGAAGTGGAGATGTGGAAATCGTCTGCCAAGTCCCCAGAAAGTGGTCCTACCATGAAACCAGGGGGCGATGGATTTAGTGTTTCTCTCGAAGCCAGCTCGGCGAGGCACCTGCTCCTCCTTGAACCAGCGGACGATGACTTCTTTGGAGACTGGACGCAGTGGACGCTCCCAAGTTCTGCTGCAGAGAAGGGAGGGCAGGAGGTCAGGGGAGGGGAGCGGAAGAAAAAAGCGAGAGGAAGGAAGGAGCAAAGGAGGGGAAGGGAGGGCGGGGAGAGGCAGGGGCCGCTGAGAGAATGCACGTGAGCAATGCCCACGTTCGTGCCCGTGGAGCGGACTAAATGAGCCCAGGCACTTAGAGGCACTTTTGTGGATTCTAATGTACCAGCTGTTGTTATTTTTCCCAAAGCAAACTATTATCATTTGCTTCAAAAAAAAGCCACACAGGTGGGACTGAAAAGAGGCTAGGAGGAGATGACTGGATACGAAAAGGCACATTTTCCCTCGAGACTGGCCAGGGCAAAAACATCAGCATCGATGAAGAAGGATCCTGGTGGAACAAGAGCACATTTGTCAGTATGTGAGTGTCCCCCGTTCTTCCGCCTCCCCCACTGAGGAGAATTCTGGGTTTTGCCCCAGCCACGTCTCCCCTCCCTGCCCTCACAGGGGTGCCTGCCACTGCCAGCCAGCGCCCGTGACCCTGTGGGACAGAATCGGGACAGTGCACAGAGACCAGAGAAGCTGGGTTTGCCCAGAAATGGCTGAGATGCCCCACAGCACGGGGAAGGGAGAAGACAGGGAACAAAACTACGCATTGTTGGCTGTGGACGGGGAGGGGTGAGGGACTGAAGACACCGACCGTCCGATGAGAGGAGCGTGAAGAACTTGAGGGTGCTGAGTCACACGGTGCTTAACGCTTCCTCACGAGTGAGCCAAGATTTTCACAGCTTTCCTGCCTGAAATGTGGCTTTTGAAGGCACGCACAGACTAGGCCACACCAGACCCTGCCATATCTAGCCTGTGCCAAAACGAGCACATGACGTTGTGACACGAACAGGCACCCTCACTACCTGCTGAATCAACGTGTAGTGAGAGCGCGCTGCATTCATTCATGCTGTTAAAACACGGCCTCTGAAGAACAAGCCACCAATCCCCCCGAACAACCACAGCCTCTTCAACGTTTCCAGCTGAGTGACAGGAACCCAGAAATTCTTATCTTGTCATTGCCATGCACCTAACGGTACTGGCATTTGGAGGCCACCACTCTCGTCATTTTTTATAAAATAAGCAGCAGCCGTCCCCTCACATAGTCTCTGTTTGTGCCCTGTACCCACGCTTCGACACTGAGCGCAGCACCTCCTTGCAAGCCCCAGAATGAATCCACTTGGCATATGTTTACTTGCCCTAAAATGAATCCACTCACACACGCACGTGCACACAAATGCACACACAAACAGTAGTGAACGCTGCAGATTTTAGGAAAGATGTTGCCAGAAAGACAGAGGATGAGATTACACTGCACAGCTGAAAGCCTTCCGTCGAGTGAGCTCTCCGACTCTGATCTCCCCTCGCTGCCTGCAGGCCGTCCTTTACCCCTCACCCGCACCATACCCCGCAGCCCTCCAGACTCCATCTCTGCTGCACCCTCCCTCCTCAGTCACCTTGGACATGAAGATGACTTCACGAAGGCAGTCATAGGGCAGCCCTGCCCCCCAGGACTCCTCCTCCTTTGTATCCCCCCAAAATAATTGTGCTCAGGGGAAAAAAAAGCCTCTAGTTTCTAGGACTCA